TTTTTGTTTTGTTTTTTTAGATTCCACATATGAGCGATCTCATATGGTATTTTTCTTTCTCTTTCTGGCTTACTTCACTTAGAATGACATTCTCCAGGAGCATCCATGTTGCTGCAAATGGCATTATGTTGTCGGTTTTTATGGCTGAGTTAGTATTCCATTGTATAAATATACCACATCTTCTTTATCCAGTCACCTGTTGATGGACATTTAGGCTGTTTCCATGTTTTGGCTATTGTAAATAGTGCTTCTATGAACATTGGGGTGCAGGTGTCATCCTGAAGTAGATTTCCTTCTGGATACAGGCCCAGGAGTGGGATTCCTGGGTCATATGGTAAGTCTATTCCTAGTCTTTTGAGGAGTCTCCACACTGTTTTCCACAGTGACTGCACCAAACTGCATTCCCACCAGCAGTGTAGGAGGGTTCCCCTTTCTCCACAGCCTCTCCAGCATTTGTCATTTGTGGATTTTTGAATGACGGCCATTCTGACCGGTTGGTTGGGTTTTATTTCTGTATTTGAAGGGGTAGGGCAAGTTGTACAAACAGTAAGTGCTAGGTTAATGTTAATATTAAGTTATTTTAGTCCTTTCTCAAAATATGAAGGACTTTGAAGAAGAAAATAAAAGAGAAAATTGAAAGTCTATTTAAAAAATAAATCTTATTTTCCATTACTGTGTTTAAAAAAAAAAAAAGCAGCTGCGAAAGGAGTTAAAACTCTTACCAGGAATGTCCTCACACCCTGGTCCATCACCCTTGTGGAGAGAAGTCAGGAGCCACGGGCCTGAGGCCCAAGAGGAAAAGCCCCCTGCGCAGGACACCAGCCCCCACAGGCCAGCTCTCCAGCCTGCCCCGGGCCTATAGATGGGCTGCGTGACCATCATTCTCCAGACGTGCACACTTTTACTTTGCACCTTCGGAGGCTCCAAGCATGTCCTCAGGTCTCCCGGAGGGACGCGGCGAGAGCCGGCAGCCCTGCTCACTGGGCTTGGTAACTGAGCCTGTGTGACAGAAGTGACAATAAGCTCTATCCTGAACTCCCCGCTGTCATGGAAGGTTCCTGGGCCAGCGTCCATCCTGGCCTCGCTCCCACCCTGTGACCATCCGTGGGAACACGGCAGCTCTGTGTTGGCTGTTGTCCTGGCTGCATGGGGCTGAGCGGCACCTGTGGAGTAAGTCTGCCTGGGGCCAGTAGTGCCCCCTCCCTGGCTGTGACAACCACAAATGCCCCAGACTTTGCCTTCTGAGAACCCCCTGGTCTGGTGGCCTCACTCGGCGGCCTGTCCAGCTCGCTCAGCATGACACTCGCAGTCCTACAGAGGACGTGGCCCCACGTGGCCCAGGCAGAAAGTGCACGCCAGGATCAAGTCACCTACCCAGCCCGTCAGTGCAGTAAATGTGAAACAACCCCAAGGCTGTGTTCTCTTACTTCTGGTCAGTTCTTGAAAGGGACCTTCCAAAGGCTGAGACCCTTCTTCTGAGTCGTGTCTGAGGCCAGATGTATTAGCTACACATGGGTCACACTATGCAGGCTCCACCGAGAAGTAAAGCAGCAGAGTCCCGTGGACCCAGCCTTGCTCGTCACGAGCCTTAGAGCAGCTGCCAATCACTGGAGCTGATGTGATCTGCTTCCTGTTACGTGTAGCCCTGATTTGGGAGAGAAAAATAACCTCTGTTTGAATTAAACTTGAGTATTATGACAAAAAAGGCCAATTGCTTTAAAGATCCTTCCGATTTTTTTTTAAGTGCAAAAATACAAAACTTGAAGGCATGTGTTACTCAGGAGAGCAGGCACCTGTGCAAGTGGGCTGCTCAGTGGCCCAGTGGGCTTGGCTTCTGTGGCCTCCAGGGTGGCCTCCCTTCCTGGAAAAACATGCCTCCTTGGCTCATCGGGTTTTAATGAATCATTTTGTGAACATTAAACATCTCCTATGGAAATTGTTCCTAATACTCACAGCGAAGAGGAACTTTGGGAAATTCCCAGCTCACTGAAGAAGAAGCTAGCAGCAGGGCGTGGCACCGAGCAGCCCGTGAGCTGTCTCGTCCTGGGAGCACCTGCCTTCGCTCAGGCCAGGCTCCCTGCTTTGTTTCCAGGTGGATGAACTTTCCCAACACACTAAACTCCTGACTCCTAGACTCGTCCCCCGGGAGGTGGAGGGTTTGCCTGACGAGGCAGCTGGGTGAGGCGTCTGGCACACCCACGCCTGCCTGTCTTAGCCACGTCCCTCCCCAGCTCTGCCAGCATGAGCCCCCACATCTGCCTCGGCTTGGCTCCAGCCTGGACAGGAAGAGGGGCCTCCTCCATCCCAGCAGCGCTGCCCCTCCTCACACCGTCCATCCCTTTACTGCTTTACCCTTGTCTCAGCTGGAGACCACAGAGCAAATTAGAGGGCAGGGAGTGAACCAAGTCTGTGATCCCCTCTGCCTTTTCTCTTCTTTAGTTCATAATGTCTTTTTTTCCCTAATTATTCATCATAAGACATATTTCTATGACCACTAGGAACCAATCCCGTTGTCAGTGATTAACAAGGATCATCAGCATCAGCTATTATCATTTGCAAAGTCTGGATAATGCAGGCTTGTGGGAAAAGATACTGATTGTCCTTGAAATTTTGCCCTGCAGAAGCAAAATGCTCTGCTGAATCTCAGCTCAGTCTGTTGAACACAATTTAAGACGTGTGTGGTTGCTGAGGACCCTGGGTGTAATCTCAATAGTGGTTAAGAGCGCTGGAGACAGACTTCCCAGAGTCAGCTCCCACCGCTGGGACCAACCACTCAAGGCTGGCAAGTCTAGGTTCGCATTCTGCGGGGGGGATGCGTGGGCACGTCCAGCGCCCACCTCAGCGCCCGGCTCAGCAGACAGGAGGGACTTACTGTGCACACGGCAAGGAACACCTGTTACCCTGCCATCAGCATCCCTACACATCTTCAGTTCTGCAGTTAGTGCTCCGAACAGGATACGTGTGCGGCGGCTGAGACGGCTGTGGCTTCCAGAACATTCCCCGATGCTCACAAGCATCTTTTACTTGCTGCTTTCTGTCGTCTGTCATTTCTGGGAGACAAGAGGGTGAAGGAGTTACTTGAGGGCTTCCGTTATTTAAGTTCGGTTACTCTAGATTGAGCTTTACATAGGGAGGTCATGACTATCATTACTGATAAGAAAATAATGTTCAGAATGATTTTTTCTTCAACATTAACTTACGTTCTGATCTGGTGACAAAGTGGCGTGAGGACTGGTCTCAGCGTCGTGTGACAGCTGCTTTCCCTGGCCGTCGGGGTGTTAGTAGTCATTCAGCTGGTTTTGATCGCATCCAGACTCTATCAAACTTTATTCTTTTAGTGACATACTTTTAACCTGACTTCTTAAAACTTATAGGTTAAAAATAAATATAGTATAAACTATTAAAATATGAAGAGCTTCACTTTACAGGAAAACTATGCCAGTAATATTGCTACTGTGGATAGTTATTATTGAAGTTATGTCTCTTAGGAGAACTCAACTGTAAGACACGCTTTACAGAAAGAGCTGTAGCAGCATCTCGTGTGAGGTACAAATTCAGTGCTTCAGTCACTGTAGTTAAAAGTGGTGACTGCTTTTCTTTCTTACTGACAGGCCAAATTCAGTTTGTTTTTTATTACAGTAGTGGTATAGTCTCAAATGAGTCACTGGCTTTAGAATTTGGTTATTTATATTTTCTGTGTATTTGCTCTTAGATGCATTTAACAAGCATCTAATGGCCTAAGGTACGCACAAAATTGTACGGAACATGGAAATGCTGGATTCCATGTAGCTGAGCGCACAGGTGTGTTTCTGTAGAATTCTTGTGATGCTGCACAGTTTATAGTGTTGGATGTCTTTTACTCATGTTGCCCACGCAGTTTTGAAGGTTTTTCTTCCCAGTACAACATGCAAAATTCTAGACACAGTGTAGAAGCTCTTGCTAAACATGTGTAGACGTGCTTGTTGATGTGCAAGTTTGAATTTCACCTCTGTCTTGCGAGAAGAGATCAAGTAAGCACAGCAAGGAAAACGGCCACAGAAGCCTGGGGGAAGTGTGTCCGCTGCGGCAGTGGCACGAGCACCTGGGCCGGAGTCCTCAGAACCAGTGACTGCAGAGCACGGTGTTTAAATCGAGTCTTTGATGATCCAGTCAGGAGCATAAGCATCACCTTTTATCAAATAAGTGTAACTCACGGGAACTATCGTGAGTATGCTGTTAAAATGGGAAAAACTGTGTGATATTGTCTTACAGACTATTCAAAATTTAAACAATTATAACCACAAATATTTGCTAAACACATGGTTGAAGCACATAATTTTATGCAGTTTGACTTGTGTGGATTTAGGGAATGTTATTCCCAAACATGGCTCTTCGCAATGTGCTGACGTCACACAGCCCACGTGCTTCCAAGGCGTCCGCACACCAAGCCCTGAGGTGTTAAATGATATCTTGCTGACGCATACTTCCAGTTTTCTCATAAAAATGTGAATAATTTAAATAAGTTTTTCTTGTTTTAGGCAATTCAGACCAACCCATAGAAGTGACAGCACTGTATTCTTTTGAAGGACAGCAGCCAGGAGACTTGAATTTTCAAGCTGGAGACAGAATCACAGTTCTATCAAAAACAGACTCACACTTTGATTGGTGGGAAGGAAAGCTCCGAGGTCAAACGGGCATTTTTCCAGCCAACTATGTTACCATGAATTAAAGTTTATATTATTTCCTTCTTTCAGAATTATAAGAAAATTATTTCTACACTCACAGGATTTACTATCCAGTTAAACAATGTTTTTAATACAAGTCCAAATACTCTTCTGTTTATTCCATAAACTTTTATCCTGTATGTAAAAGATTTTTTTCTGTATATAAATGGTTACCTTACGTACCTTTAAATACTTTCCACTAATTTTATTACACACACTATTTAATAGTTAATGTCTTCCAATGTATGTGGTCACATTTCTTTTGTGTTCATTTTCAAACATCCATAAACGTTTGATTTGACCTTGTACGTGATGACTTTAATTTGGGAAGCTTAAGAATGGGGCATGAATTCTAACTGGGTATTAAGTAATACTTAGAGTTGTAGGTACTAACTAGAATATTAATTCTTAAAATTATTTCTATACCTTCAAAAGTTGCATATTTATGTTTTATGCACATATATGTAACATGCTATTACACAGAAATTCAACCACTATTCATTAAAAAAGATGACATCTATTAACTTTCCTTCTTTGTGAGGTTATGTTCATTTGTAGCAGTAGAATAAACTTATGTTGACATGGTTCTGTTGTCCTGAAATAAATGTTTTAAATGCTCAGTTACTGTTTTTATCTTGTTTTTCTTACTTGCTTTTTGTAAAGTAACCAGAGGTCTGTGGTTGGTCTGCAGGTTAAAACTCACCTCCATGATTGTATTCCAAGTTCTTTTTTTCAGCTTTATTAACATAAGATTGACAAATAGAATTGTAAATTTTTTAAAAGGTCTGTGATTTGAAATACACAGACATTGTAAAAGGATTCTTACTGAGTTAATGAACACGTCCAACATCTCACGTATTTTTTTATTTGATGAGAACCCTTAAGTTCTACTCTCTTACCAAATTTCAATTATAGAATGCAGTATTATAACTGTAGTCACCACGCTGTACATTAGCATCCCCAGAACATGCTCCTCTTATAAACTGGAAGTTTGTACCTTTGATCAACATCTCTTAATTTCCCCCACCTCCCAGCCCCTGGTAAACACCAATCCGCTCCCTGTTTCAATGAGTTTGGCTTTTTAAAATCCCATTTGAGATCATACAGTATTTGTCCTTCTCTGCTTTATTTCATTTAATATAATCCCCTCAATTTCATCCATGTTGTTACAAATTTCAGAGTTTCCTTCCTTTGCCCAGAGAATGAATATATCTACGTCTATCTATAGATCTATCTATAGATAGGTATCTCATATTTTCCTTATCCATTCATCTGTTGATGGACATTTAGGGTTTTCTAGATATAATAACATGCCGTCTGTAAACAGAGATAATCTTGCTTCCTCCTTTCCAATTTGAATGCCTTTTATTTCTTTTTTTTGCCTAATTGCTCTGGCCATGGCTTCCAGCACAATGCTGAAAAGAAGTGGTAAGAGTGGACATCCTGATTGCTCCTGGTCCTGGAGGGAAAGCTTCCTGATTTTCACTGTAGAGTGTGATGTTAGCTGTGGGCGGGTCAAACATGAGCATGTTGTTTAATCTCCACATATTTGTGAACTTTCCAGTTTCCTTCTTATAATTGATTTCTAGTTTCATACCATTGTGTCCAGAAAAAGATGCTTGATATGATTTCAGTCTTCTTAAATTCATTCAGACCTGTTTTGTGCCTAACGTAGGCTCTGTCCTGGAGAATGTTCCACATGCACTTGCCGAGAATGTGCATTCTGCTGCTATTGGATGGAAGGTTCTGTAAATGTCTGTTATGTCCATCTGGTCTGACATGCTATTTAAGGCCAGTGTTTCCTTATTGATTTCCTATTTGGATGATCTATCCATTGATGAAAGGGGGGGTATCAAAGTCCCCCCCATAATTTTGTATTGCTGTCTATTTCTCCTTTTAGGCCTGTTAATATTTGCTTTATATATTTAGCTGCTCCGATATTGGGCTCATAAATGTTTACAAACATTTTAGCCTCTTGTTGAATTGACCCCTTTATTATTATATACTGACCTTCTCTGTCTCTTATTACAGTATTTCGATTAAAGTCTGTTTTTTTCTGATATAGCTACCTCTGCTTTCTTTTGGTTTTCATTTGCATGCAGTATCTTTTTCCATCCCTTCACTTTCAGTCTGCATATGTCTTTAAAGCTGGTGAGTCTTTTGTAGGCTTGTTGAGTCTTATCTTTTTGTAAATCCATTTAGCTACTCTATGTCTTCTGATAAGAGACTTTAGTCCATTTACCCTTGAAGTAATAATTGATAGGTCAGGACTTACTATTGCCATTTTGTTGGTTATTTCTTGGCTGTTTTGTAATTCCTCTCTTCCTCTCTTCCTCTCTTGATCTCTGTCTTAGTGATTTGATAATTTTATGTAGTGCTAGTCTTAAGATTCTTTTCTCTTCTTTTGTATCCTACTGTATGTTTTTGCTTTGTGTTTACCATGAAGCTTACAGAAAACATAACAGTCTCTTTTAAGCTGATAACAACTTTGCACACATATTAAACGTCTACATTTTTACCCTCCCACCACATTCTATGTCTTTAATGTCACAATTTATCTATCTTTACCTGTATATCCATCAACAAATTACTATAATTATAGTTACTTCAACGCTTTGTTATTTAACCTTCATACTAGATTTATAAGTGATTTAACCACCACCACCATTACAATAGGAGAGTATTCTGAATGTAACTCTATTTTTAATTTTACCAGTGAGTTTTATGCTTTCATATGTTTTCCTGTTACTAATTTTCATTATTTCACTTCCTCCTGAAGAACTCCCTTTAGCATCTCTTGTGAGGCAAAGTCAGTGGTGATGAACTTCTTCAGCTTTTGTTTATCTGGAAAACTCTTTCTCTCTCCTTCAATTCTGAAGGACAGCTTTGCGAGGTAAAGGATTCTTGGTTGACAGTTTTTTCTTTCAGGACTTTGAATGTATTATCCTGCGAGCTCTCTTCTGGCCCACAAGGTTTCTGCTGAAAAACCCACTGGCAGTCTTATGAGAGTTCCCTGGTCATAATAAGTTGCTTTTCTCTTGCTGCTTTTAAGATAGTCTTCTTGTCTCCAGCTCTCAGCTGTGTGGTTACAATGTCTCAGTGTGGGGTTCTTCAGGTGCAGCTTACTTGGGGTTCTGGGCTTCCTGGGTCAGGACGTCTGTTTCTTTCCTCAATTTACGGGAAGTTTTCAGCCGTTACTTCTCTGAATAGGCTTTCTGCCTCTTTCCCTCTCTCGTCTCCTCTGGGACCTCTGTAATGTACCCATCCAGCTGCTTGGTGGTCCCAAAAGTCCCCTAAGTGTCTTTACTCTTCATTCTTTTTCCTTTTTGTTCTCTACTTGAATAAATTCTACTGCCATATTTTCAAATTTGTTGATCATTTCTTTTTCTCAGTCTAGTCTGCTGTTGAACCTCTGTATTTGAATGTTTCAGTTAAGTTATTTTTATTCTATTTTTCAGCTCTATGATTGCTGTTTTGTACTTTGTTCATGGATTGCTTTCCTGAACCAGTGAGCATCTTTATGCGGGTTATTTTGAACTCTCTATCAGGTAAATCGTTTCTTTCTATTTTATTAAGGTAAGTTTCTGAAGATTTATCTTGTTCTTTTGTTTAGAATATATTCCCCTGCTTCTTCATTTTCCTTGACTTTCTGTGTTTGTATCTGCACATTAGATAAAACAGCCACGTCTCCCAGTCTGGATGGAATGTTCTCATGTAGGAGTTGAATCCTGGCTATCAGCCCAGCCTGAGCTCCTGAGCTCTCAAACCTCTGTGATTGTCCAAACTGCTATCTTTGTTTTTAGTGGCTCCCAGTAGTTGAGGGTGTACAAAGACCCGTCAGTGTTCCAGAGAAACTCTCAGTCAGCTCCTAGGTGTGGGCTGATTGGAAGCTGGACCCTCAGGCAGGACTGAGAAAGTATGTAATTTAGCCCTTTCTGTGGAGAAGCTGGGAGATGAGTGTTTTCACTTGCTCAGTCCATGCTGAGCTGCAGGGTATAGCTGGGGGTATTCCGGTGTCCATTTAAAAACTGCATCTTGGTTTCAGTCCAGTGGGATTCATGAGTGTCAGTCCTGCAGGCCACCAAACTGGGTGATTGGGGGCCCATCCCTCGAATGGCAGCTATAAAACCTGGGGCACTAGATGTGTGGACAAGCTCCTTCCAGGGAGGTGCCTGGTTTTACTGTTGGGGTGAACCAGAGCCAGAAGGCAGGGCTCTAGGGAGGGTCACAGCCAGCAGCTAATTAGATGCTGGGCTAATTAGATGCTGGGCCCCAGGCAGCAGCTTGCAAAGTACACAACCAAACCCCTTCCAGGGAAGTGAAGCGGGAAGATGGCCTTTCTACCTGCTCTCTCCGAGCTGGGCCCCTGGGGAGCAGCCTCCCCCTGGTTCCTCATTTGCTACATTCCGGTGGGACTTGTGGACACAGGCCCTGTTAGCTTTCAGAGCTCAGTGACCTGGAAGCTCATCCCTTGGGTGGAAGCCTTAAAGTTGGGGTGCTAGTCGTTCAATTTAAACCCTTCACTCTGCAGGGAGAAGCTGGGAGTTGGGGTTCCCTCAGCTGCAGGGCAGTGTGCTGGGGGTGGGGTTACGGTGCGGATACGCCTTTCCTAGCTTTTCTGATGTGGGTATTTTCTGTCACCTGATGTGTAGGAATCACTCAGCCAGACTCTAGATTTCTCTCAGAGGAAACTGTTCCATGAATGGCTGTGTACTCAGTGCCTCTGTGGAAGGGAAATTCAGGAGCCTCTGGGTTACCATCCTGGTCCTTCTAACTTCTTTCTTGAACTCCAGACCCGTATCTCCAACTGTGCATTTGACAGCTCTATCTGGACCTGTAATAGCATCTCAAACCTTGCTCGTCCAAAGTAAACCCTTGCTTTCCCGCCCCTAAAGCCTGCCCCTCCCTCAGTGCCCCTCTGGAAATCCCACTCATCCATTGCCTTAGACCACAGGATTGCTTAGGAGCCATCCTTGATTCCTCCTCTCATCTCAAGCACTAAATCAAATGCACCAACTTAGTGCTGGCTCCAAAATACTTAGCATACCCAACCATTTCCCACTGTCTCTGTCACCACCACCCTTTAATTAAGGCAAACTCCCAGCCCCAGACTTCCCTCAGATACAGCGTGGATTCCTGCTTCCACACTGCAGCCAAGTGAGCCTCACATGCCAGCTTTTCATCCTGCTTTGCGTCTGACAGTCTTACGTTATGTGCAAATGTGTGATGACCTTTTCATAACATAATTCTTAAGACATGGAAAAAGGAGAATATTATCATTACCCAGCAAGAAAGTAAACAAACTCTTCCCAACCTTCCTCCCTTTCTGACTCAAAGGTAATCAGCCTGAATTGGCTATTTATTAGTTCCATATATTTCTTTATATTTTCATTATATATGTATGTGTCCCAAAGCACTATGTCGTATTGTCTTGGATAGTTATAAGCTTAGAAAATTTACACTTTGAAACTTACAAAAGTGATACAGTGAATGCACTCATTTGCCATGGAATTATCATGTGTTCTGATGTATATATTCAAGGAAGGAAAAGATATGGTGGGGAATTTCAGCAGCAAGTTGGGAGAGAACTAAATGAAAAAAATTGGAATTAAAAAGTA